GAAACCAAAGCTTTTTTTCTTGTTAGCACTAGCTACCATAAATACAAGACCAAACAAAAGCAGTGAAATATATCATTTCATATTTGGGGATCTATAAGCATTTATAATATAAACAATGATTCACTGAAACAAAGTAATGTTTACATTCAGTAATTTTTTAGTATTTTTTAGAAGGAGAGGGCCATTCATTTTGAGATGGTTGGGGTAAGAGGCTTCTTGAAGAAGAGCTGGCTGGAACCTCTGCAAAATAGTTCCGCAGATTTGGGCCTCCTCTGTCATCTGACTCCACTTGCCTTATTCTTCCTTTTTTCTCAAAGTTGGGACCCTGATGGCCCTTTGTAAATTATAGCATTGTTGGTTCTGCTAGGATGGTTCTACAGGGCTGCCTCTTGTCCAGCTCTTCCAGGGGTGACCAAAACAGCATCAGGTCACATGGCAGTGGTTTCTTCTTTCTTTTTGTAAAAATCTTTTAAGTTTTTATTGATTTTTAGAGAGAGAGGAACATCAGCAATCTCCTGCACACGCCCTACTGGAGATGAAGCCTGCAACCTGGGCTCATGCCCTCACCAGAATCGAACTGGTGACCTCTTGGTTCCTGGAATGACACTAAACACTGAACCACACTGGCCAGGCAATTACAGTAATTCTTATCAACTGAAATGGGCCTGACTAACCTTTAGTCACCATTACTTTGCCTAGTTGGAGTCATCTAATGTACTAAAAAGCAATAAGATTACAGGTATAGTACAAAGGGCACTGTACTAGGTCCAAGCTCTGCTAATAATAAAATATATGACCTTGGAAAATTCACTTTTTCTTCTTTGAGTCTTAACTTATTCATAAAAACAAAAGAGCTGAACTACTAATCACAAGGGACCTTTCCAGTCTTAATTTTTAAATGATTCTTATTCATAAAGATTCTACATTCATAATTTTTCATTGTGTCAAATTTATTATATTGAATATTAGTTTGGTACATTATTTGATAATCAAAAGCTTACTACATTTTCATATAATTTTATTAACCAATGTTACCCAATAAAAAAGCAAAAAAAAACCCACCTTAGCATATTTAGTAAAAATATTTTAAGACTAGTAACATAATTTTTACCATCTTACATTAGGAACAGTAGAAGAAAACCAAAGAAGAAATGCGAGCATATTTTGCCAGTTGGGTGGACATAAACCACACTGGATTTTATAATACAAACCAGATAAGAAATAAACAAAAAAGACCCCCAAACCACTGATAAATATATATATATATATGTATATATGTATATAAATATGTATACACATCATTGATATATACTTTTTATACTGACATACATATAAGTATGTGAACTTTAAAACTTGTTTTAATTATAAAATCAATAGTTTATTGTAAGAAATTCAAACAGTACATTAGGCCACATGTGAAGTGCAAAGTAAAAAGTGTCCCACCTCTCTTCATCTTCCATAAGTTAACTACTGTTAATATTTTTAAGTATCCTTCAATTAGTTACCTAAGCATATTCAAGAATACATGTGCATGCGTTTATGTATATAAATCTTTTTAACCTAAAATTTTGTCACTTCTTGAATGATGAAAGAAAAATGTCTCAAGCACAGGCTTCATAAGCATGTTAAAAACACTGAAAGTAGTAGCAGAGTTGTATGGATCAAAGTGTTATCTGCTTCAGAAATGTGCATTGAACTGAATACATTTAATTTTCTTGCTTGGAACAGTTGCGCAGAAAGAGCTTTTAGCAAGACGCCAGACAACCTGGGTTCTAAATTGAGTAGTCGAGTACCCTTAGGCAAGCCATGAAATCTTTCTGTGCCTTAGTTACAGCTTTTGTAAATGGCTGGACTAAGATCCCTTCCAACTCTAAAATTTTATAATTCTAAGATGGCCGTCTGCAGCGGTGTTCTCCTGAACTGGCTGAAACAAATATTAAGTAAAAAGAGAAGAAATACTATAGCGACCTCCGGTCTTACCAAAGTAAATTTCTATGCGTCATTAACAATCAAGGTATAGTTGTGACAGAACTAGTGACATAATTATATTTGAAAGCAAAGTAGCAGATTTTTTAAATCGGATAGGTTTTTACAAAGCTTTGATTGACGTCTTTTTTTTTGGAGGAGGGCTGTGGCTTAGTTTCAGTAATAACCAACCCCCCTCCGCCCGAAAAGAAAAGAATTAAGTGTATTTTGGAGTTAAAATCATGAAACTGAAAGACTGATTTTCGTTTTACTTACAGAATATGCTGGGGAGGTGACTAAGGCAGCAAAGATTGGAAAGAATTACTAGCTAATTTCCTCTCCTGGAAGCTCTTTGGCTCCCATTCTTTCTGTTTCACACGCCCTCACCGCACACATTCCATCCAGTTAAGTACGTGCCACAGGCATCGGATGGGGGATGGGAGGGTCCCTTTGATCACTAAAAAAGTTCCTTGACTCGATTTACCTTTGAGGTCATGGGGTTCAGGTTGGCACCCACCCGCCCACGCCCTCCTTCGACAGATCCGGAAACCTGGGCCAAGAGCCCTGGCCTAGCCACCCTCGCCCAGCAAGGGCGGCCTTCCCGCCTTTCCCCGTAAGGCAAGGCCCGAGCGGGGGGAGGGGAGGGAGAAAAGAAAGGGGAGGAGAACGAGGAGAAAGCCCGCGCGGGCTGTACCTACCGTGCCAGGGGAGCCAGCCCGGATCACCCGCGGTGCCCGGCGCGGTCCCGAGGGGTGGGTCCTGGAGGAGGGGCGGCCCAAGCCCCAATCTGGAAATGCCAACTCTACTCGGCGGCCCGCCCGGCCTAAAAGGAAACGGAAGTCCCTTCGTCTCCCTCACTAGCACCCACCAGACCGCCCAACCCCTGGAGGATTACCGAGG